TTGTCCAATGACAACCATTGAATATAGAAGACTGGAACTTACAACATAAGATAGGAATAAATGAAACCACACATATACCCTGGAACAATATCCCCATGGATCCCACCCCCAAGGAATTTGCAAGTGTGGGAAAATCTGGTTTTGTTCCCAGGCCTAGGGTTCTGCTGTTTGTTGATCAACTAGTTGTTGCTGTTTTGCAATTTATGGGTGAGTTTGTCAGGAGATACATTTCCTTTTCTCTTGTTATTGTTTCTCTCCCCTTTAATTATATAAGCTGTCCAGAAGCATTTGGGGGGGTCAGTCTATCTTAAAAATATAATTAATTAATAAACAAACAAACAAACAAACATGACAATTCAAATGTACTCTATGTGGAGTGTGAACCCCCACCAATACAGAATAACACCTATGTTAAAGATTAGAACTGATTGGCATTAATCTTTTGTTGTTTTTAATGTTTTAAAACAGCTTTATAGTTTAAAATGTTTTTAGGGGTCTTTTAATTTTTGATAACAGAGTTGGTTGAATGAGGAGTTGCTATATAAGTACTTTAAATAAAATAAAATAAAAATGCTGCAGTGATGGCTAATAGTCTTTGGGACACAAATCAAAGGGATAATGGTTACCTTTAAATCTCCACATAGAGCAGGACTGGAATATTTCAGGTAGTGTCTTGCTGGAATTGAACCTGCTTGTTCAGTGCAGAAAGTAAGGATGATGTTCACAGTGATATTGTCAAGTGGCAGGAGATTAGCAGTCCAGGAATTCAAATGAATATAGGTTTATTGTATGCTAATGTTTTCTTCAAAAATCTGAATTACTAACGGTCAAAGCAAATTGGCAGTAGATAATCAACGGAATTCAAGGAGGGCTGGACTTAGATCTCCTATTGGCGTGAAGGGACTCAAGATTGATGATGTGTTTGACCCCTGCCTCGGGTTCATCTCCTACAGATATGGAAGAACCAGTACCTAGGCAATGAGGATCGAAATATTATGTAAAACCTGAGAAAAAAGCTAACATTTGAATACAGCTCAGACCTTCTTGATTCATAAGTGGTGGGGGGGGGAGGGTATTGACTTGCAAGATTATGTGTGATTTGAAATATCCAAGTCAGCATCAATAAATGTAGGTGCAGTTTTCTTAAGAAGTAAATTTCATGGCCTGGTCTATCTATGGGGGCTGCCATCTAGAAATAATCTATTGAGTTTATTTATTTAAGAGACTTAGATGGTCACAAAATGTATGTGCCATAATTCCAGGCAGCTCACAACAGCAATAAAAACATAAAAGAATTAATAAAATACATTGGTGTGGCCAAGGCAACAGGCCTACTTTCTGATATTTCCATTTTATAAAATACTTTCTTCACAGAAATATATATGATCTTACCTTCTAATATTTTGCTTGTTCAATTTCAACAAATTTTGACACCTAATTAATTGATCTAGGACATCTTCTTAGTTTTCCAATTGTTATTTTATTGCTATGTTGGTCTTATTTTTCTTTTTTTGTTATTGTACGCCACCCAAAGTATTTTGATATGGGGTTGGTTATAGGCACTAGTTGACTGGTAAATATTTAACAATTGACTCTGCTGGCCTCATTGTCACCACCATACCACTAATCACTTGAACAGCTGATCTGAGCATTAGCCATGGCAGTTCCACTCTGCTCCCAACTGATACATAAAACTGCAGAAAACGTCACAATTGGCATTGCAATCATTGTGTCAACATTATTATATTTTTGATTATTAAAAAAACACTTCAGAAAATCTTAACTTGTATATAACTTTTGAAAAGATATACAGTTTTGTAGGTTTTTTTGATTATTATTTTTTCAAAATGGCATCCATTTAATGCTAAAAATCTTACTGAAATCTCCTATCTTTGGTGGACTGGTTTAAGTACTTAAAATGTAATATCTCCTTAAGTCTGAGTTTGATTTGCAGGCTTCATGGTCATATCCAGATTATTTTTGTAGAAATAAAACAAATATATACTGCAGTGGTGGGATTCACTTTCCCTTCCCTTCCGGTTCGCAAATGTGAGCAGGCTGGGTGGGCAGAGCCTCCAGAAGCAGCACTACAGGTTCACCCGAACCAGAGAGAACTGGCTGAATACCACCTCTGGTACATTGTCATCTTCTGGGATGTGTTTTCAAACTTCCCAATTTAGTTTACTGCTCTGATATTTCTTACTAGTCTCCCATCTGTGTACTAAGCAGTTTTGATTATTTAAAGCTTTATGAGGTTAAGCAAGATTGGCTGGGTGCTGGAAACTGCATTTCAAGATATATAACAAGCTTACTTTGACTGCAGAGAAAATAGTTATCTTGAAAGAGAAAGATAGGGAAGGAAAAAGGCTAAAAAAATAATCTGCTCTATTGAAGGGGTGGTGGGATGTAATAGAAGATGACAGTAGCCTTCCAGCAAATACTTGCAGAAAGCAGAGACATGCTCTCATTAATAAGATACATGTTATTTGCATTTAAGCTTCTTTCTCATCAGTAGAACAAAGTACATCAATATGTTCTGCATCTTGTGAGTGAATATGGAGAGAGGAAATAGAATACACCCACGGACACACACTAATAAAAACAAAGGAGAAGTCAGGACGGGGCAGAAATGGGATCAATGAAATCAAAATGACATGGCAGTTTGTGCAGTAAGAAACAGCTGATCACAGGTTTCCTTGTCCAAGAGTGTCATGGGAGCAACAGATAAGATTGTAAATAAGATGCATTGAAGAAGAATGTCTAAACCGTGTTCTCTGCAAAGGTATGTTAAGACTATCAGTACCACTAGCAAAATAAGTCCCTTGTTATATAACTGGGAAAAAATTAACACCTGCTAAGTCTAGGATTGATTAATAGTAAACAAAGGAAGCTTAAAAGGGATCTTGGCATAATTACATTTCTATTGCAAACAATCTATTTGAAACCCAGAAGAACTCTTTGTGTCCCTATGTCCCAATTTGAAAAATCTGCAGGAAATGCAACCACCATTGGAAAATACTTGACAGATTTCTGTATAGAAAGCAAGCTATTGGATGCTATTTAAGGAGCCTAACTCACAGTGCTTTAGAGAAGTCTTTTCCACAGCTTGGTGCTTTTTAGATATGCTGATAGTACAATTCTAGAAGACTTAGCCACTCTGACTCATGGAAGTACCATGTTTTCCCCAAAATAAGACATGGTCTTATTTTCTTTTGACCCCCTGAAATAAGTGCTTGGCCTTATTTTTGGGGAAGTCTTAATTATTTTTGAGGTGCAGGAGGTGGTAAGCGTGGCTGCTGTTGTGTTGCAATATTTTCGGGTGAGGGCTTATTTTAGCACATGCACTCAAAAGCCAGATTGGACTTATTCTCCAGGAGATCTTATTTTAGGGAAACAGGGTAGTTGGAAGGGAAAGGCTGAACTAGAAAAAGCAGGAAAAGGAGAATAATAGCCTTACATTGAATAGTATTCAAAATTGAGAAAAGAAAGAAATTCTAGGTGGTTTACCAGGTTGGGAGAAGAAAAAGGTGATATTAGTAGAGGGAATGTGATGTCAAGAAGTTGCTTCCCTGAAATGACACCCAAAAGCAAATCATGGGGAGGAACAAGAACTCTGAAGAAAATAAAAAAGATAAATGATTACCAGTTTTAATATTTTTCAAGTGGACACTAACTAGCCTACAGAAGACTGAATTTAGAGCAAATACTATCTTTGTTATTGGAAAAAACTTTAATATTGTATAGGGCACCTCTGTCTAGTCACCAAACTACTATTGGAAGGATAAGAAGGAAACATGGATGAAGATAGGAAGGTAAGCATATACAGTCATAGAGAAATTAATACAAGGCTTGCTGCTGTGATTCATGACAACAATGACTCTTGCACTCATTTATGGGCAAGTGAAGCGCCAGCAACTACAGTGAGAAAAATTGATGGTGTCCCAGAGGGAAGGAGTTTCAGTAGAATAAAAAGAAAAACAACAGCAGAACATTTCCATTTTATTGGTCCTCTTATGACAGGGTCATAAAACTGTATTATAAGAAGGAAAAAAGAAGAACATTTGGAAATGCATAGAACCCATGCAATATTAATATAAAGCCCAAGTCTGTGCTATACCTTTTTTTTCTTGATGCTTGGAATTATGGAAGTTCATTATATTAGCAATGATATATTGAAGTATTATTCCATTTCACTTAATTTAAAACTGATGTTCATGTATTTCTTTAACTTTAAACCATTTAATCAAAAGAAGGCTTGATTTTTCCCCCCTTGAAAGAGTCCTTGATTAGGTTGTAACATTTGCCAATGGGCAAGGTGGTTTGGTGTAGAGGTTAATGAACCGGGTTACCTAAGACAATATGTGATGTTTGCTATGCTATGACAACACCCACAAAGAAAACAACCCTTCATTTGGCAGATAATATTCTAGACCTCCACACATGCACTCCAAGTTTATACAGGAAGGGCAACCTGCTTAGAAGCACTGCTATTAATTCAAGCAATTCAAACACTAATTCAAAAATCAGCATTAAAAGCTGCTCCAGCGGGTTCACTGCCTCCAGAGAAAGCATGTGAGGGATTCACTGGAGAGATTCCAAGCAGGAATAAGATAATCTGAAAGCGGGAGCGCTCATCCAGAAATGAAAAAAGGGTCAAGTGCAAGGCTGTCACAAAGATGGTCTAATAAAAAATAAAATCCAAGTTCGGCAGCAGAGAAGCCTCCTTAGGGCTGAGCTACTCGTTCTTACCCCTTGGCAAAGAAAGACCGCGCAGCCCTAAAGACAAAGGCCTTTTTTATTATTAATATAACGGCGCTGTGGTTTAGCGCTGGAAGAGCGGCACTCTGCACTCGCTCAGTGACGCTCTCATTGCGGGGGACGAGGGGGGGGGATTCACCCACGATCGGCTCGCCTTGAACGCAGGCGGTCCACCCAACCGATGGTCAATCAGCCGCGGCTGAAAAATTCCTCTGCCACGCAAAGAAAAAGAGCGAGAGTACCTGTATTTCCTGAAGAGCTGGTCGGATTCCCGGAACCCGTTGTTGAGCAGCATATTGATCCCAGCCAGCGCTAGCTCGGCGTCCTCGAAGGGCAGCGGCGCCTCTCCGGTGCCGCCGTCCTGCTCGGACCCGGCCATGGTCGTCGGCAGGTGGGAGACCCACCCAACAGGCTCCTGCCCGCTGCGTGGCGCTCAGCCGTTCGGGGGACACTGGAGCAAGGCGAGCCAACCCGGCGTCGAAGCTGGCTGGGCACCTCGCGCCTTTCCGCTCTTTCGGGCACGGCCCGCCGCACCACGGCTATAACCGCCCTTGCAGCTCCCGCAGCCGCGGCCAGAAGCCCAGCCGCTGAAGAGACAGAGGGAGAGAGAGACCTCGCAACCTTCGAGCTAAGGCTGGCGGCTGCCGCTTGCCCGCTGCTAGGGCGCCTGCGCGGGAGGGCAAGGAGTCTGCGCGCTGCCACCTCTGAAGCGGCTTGCCCTGAGCGCCGGCTTGGCTTCTCGCTTCAGAAGCGGCTGCTCTGGTTTCCACGGGGAGAGAAGGGGTCTTGGGCGGGACCCTATTGTGCGCTCCCGGTTGCTCTTCCTTCGGGGAGTAAAACAAGGTTGTTTTTTCCCCCCCAATATAAAAGGGCCCACTCAAAGCCGAAGATAGGACGCAGTCCATTTAAGGCAGCGCAGTAGGTAATATGCAGGCAATATGGTTTATAGTGCTTTAAGGCAGGGGTCTTCGAACTTGGCAGCTTTAACATTTGTGGACTTCACGTCCCAGAATTCCCCACCCAGCTTCACTGCCTGGGGAATTCTGGGAGTTGAAGTCCACAAGTCTTAAAGCTGACAAGTTTGCAGATTTCTGCCATAAGGCACCCGGCTAGAAAGCAAGGAGACTTGAGTTGCAGTCCCGTTTTAGGCATGGAAGCCGGCTGGGTTGACTTTGGGTCAGTCGCTCACTCTCAGTCCACGAGACTTCGGCAACAAGGTCCCTGTCGCAACCAATGTATCAACATTCGGTGGATCCGAAAAACGGATCCTATATTTACGGGGAAAACGCTAGGAAGAAAGAAAAAAAAATCGGGTAATGAACAATACGATTACAATCGGACAATCCTGTCCGAAGTTTCAATATGATGCTACTTTTCATAGGAGCTTTGGAATGATGTCCAATGCTGTCTAAGCTACGGTGATGCCGCTGGGCGTACGAATCGTTTATCTAAAGCCGCATTGATGGGAACTGAATCTGTCATCTCCCACGCGTACCTGAAGCTGAGCCCTATTGAATTCACTGGGGGTTTTCACTAGCTTCATAGGTAACATAGGACGCATCTTTCTTCCTTTGGAAAAGAACAGCTAGAAGTTGAGAAATACTGAGTTATGTATTTGTATTTCTTTTTTTAATGTTTTTTATTAAACAGGTTTTTTTTTTCATTTTTTAAAATACAAATATCATCTTTGCAACATTTCCACATCGGTAAGCCTCCATTATACTCTTTTCATCTGTACATGTGTGTATATGTATATGTATATGTATATGTATATGTATATGTATATGTATATGTATATGTATATGTATATGTATATGTATATGTA